AATAATAATAATAATAATAATAATAATAATAATAATAATAATAATAAAGGGAAGATGAATGTCATTTTTAAAATGTCATCTAGAACATGTATAGAGAGAAAAAAAACACTGTCAAAAGTGGGGTTGAGGAATAGGCATTAAGGCAGTAACCAGGTATTCTTAAGGTGCTTCAGAGTTCTGTCTTCAACTACGTACATGTCTTTAAAAGTTTTAGCCCCTTCTAATTGCAGTATCGTTGTCTGTAAACACAAATGTGGTGAGTTGGATCATCTGTAAGCTTCCAGTAATTGTGGATTTCCATGAGGCCGTCATTTTAACAGGACAGATGGTTGACAAATACATAAGAGCTTTTTGATATGCTTTTTATGCATAGAAGCCTTACGATGCAGGGCCACGTGGAGAGTAAATACTGGCACTGTGGCAGCTGAGTGAGGTGGTGCGGAAAGTTCACCCACAGAATGTGGTGGGCATGTGGGGTACGTGGAAACGTGGGCCTAGGAGTTTTTACTTTCTTTCAGCAATGCCTCTTCATAAGTGCTTATAAGGGGGTGGAAAAGATACTCTTATGACATGAAAGGAAAAACATGGCTAACTTATTTGCTGATCGTGCCTCTGATCCTTTCATCTCACTTCTGGGCCATATTCACCATCATTTTTTCAACCTAACAGAACTCTTCTATCCATTGACCAACCATATGCCACTTTCCTGCCCCTCCTGCCTTGCCGTGAGTTAATTTCTCTCTTTGATTTAAACTCCGCCTTTTATCTGGACAAGTGTTCTTTTGTAGTCTACCTTCTCCCCCGACCCCCTCCCCACCCCACCCCCAAAAAAACCCTCCATGATTGTATTAGACAGGGAAAACTTGAATTTCAGCTGACTCTAGCCTTTGCCTGTTTGTATCTGTACCTGTTAAAAACAAGTTTCACTGGAGAAAAACAATAATTGACAATGCTACTTTTCTTTCTTTTTTTATTTTGTTAAAATATTTTTTTCTCATAGTGTAAGTGTTCAACTGTCAAAGTATGAGTAAATCCTATAAACTCTCAATTATTCCCAGAGGAATATGACTAAACCAACGTACCTCAATTCAAGATTCTGTGGAAGTGTTCTCTAGTACCTCTGTGTCTACTCTTATCTACCACTGCTTTGTTACCCAGTAACAAGAGTCAGTCTTTTAAAATGTCAGTGTTGCTTATTTGCTCTGCATCCTGGAGAACATTCTATCAACATTTCTTGTGGGATGGGGGGATGTTTCAAGACAGAGTTTCTCTGTGTGTCCTTAGCTGTCCTGAACTCACTTTGTAGACCAGGATGGCCTCAAACTC